CAGCAGGCTTCCTGCCAAGCGAATAAAGGCAAGCAATCATTTCTTCTTCTTTAAACCCCAACCCTGACTGTTTCTAGCGGTAAACACAGGAACACCCATGCTGGGCGAAGCCTCCAAGAAACACCAGGAGGAGATGCAGCAAAATGTCACATCACACCGGGTGGTACAAGTTCCACATCCAGGTTACTGGTAACAGAAACCGCTGAGTCAGAACCCAAAATGAAGACACTGTTTCCCAAAGGAAAACGGGGCGCTTTGGAAAGTTCCAAGAACTCTTGCCGGCCATGGAAGATGACACCGTTAAACAGTCACCTGGAAGAATTAATGCATCTTCCAGAAGTAGTTTACATCCCTTCAGAGGAGCCTAACATACACCCTGAGACCTTCCCATGCCTGGAGGCAACTCATCTTTGAGCCAGAGCAAAGCTTCTCATTTAATCCCAGCAAAGCCACCGAGGATCAATCATCCCCACTTCACAGCTGGGTAAACTGAGGCTGAAGTGGATTAGGTTTGTCCAAAGTCACAGAGTAGTAATGAGGGAAGCAAGATCTCCAACTGCAAATCCTACAGCAAATCTTCAACTTCGTGCTTGATTTCTGGGCTATTTAAAGGAAAAGGAAACCCAGAACTTGAAAGCACCAACTCCAGAGTAAGATGCACCTTGGTTTGAATTCAGTACTGACTAGCTCTGTGAGCTGGGTGTCAGGACGGAACGCCTGCTACCCGCCCCACCACCGTGCTCTGATGAGCGGGCTTCCGTGCCTCTTCCCCAAAAGGCAGGCGTGGGAGGGAGCATTTCGGAAAGACCTCTGAATTGGCACTCGGGCAGTGGGCGCTGTTTCCTCTCTCCTGCCCTTTGACCCTGCCGGTTCAGGGCAGGAAGGGGCTGACTCCATCCCCTACCCTCCAGGGGGTGAGCACCTGGGCCCAACCTGGCTGTGGGAAGCTACCACGAAAGAGATGCTCTCTTTCTGAAGCTGAGGTTGCCTTCCTGACCACCACATCAAGACAGGCTTTCTGAGAATGCCACCAACAGAGGAAGCTAGGAAAACAGAGATTCCTAATATCATCTGAGCCCACGGATCTAACCACGTCTAAAGGTAGAACCCTGAACTTGCCAGTCGAATGCACCAGCGAAATCCATCAGAGAGGGCTGTTGGAGCTGACTGGCCATACCACTTCCAGCCAAGAGCACCGACGAACGCCAACCCGCCTTAACACGGATGTACCAAGTTTGTAAGTCACGGTTTCCCCGGGGTAACGCGACTAGGAGAAAAGCTAGGCGCTCTAAGGCTCGGCACGGACATGAAAAGAGGTGGAGAGACCTGACCAAACAAAAGGACGCTTTTCTGGAAAAACAGACTCTGAGGCTGTCTGCAGCCGGAGACAACCTCGGGGTAACAAGTGTTCCCCTCTGACGGCCTAGGGACCCGTCTAGATTATCGGGGGCTGCCCAGGCACCTGCAGCCTCCGCGCGCGTCTGCGGAAGCCGCGCAGCGTCTGAAAGCCTTGGCGGGTCCTGTGTCCCCAGGGACGCCCCAGAGCCCGCAGGGTCCTGCAAAGACGGGGCCGCCCAACCCACCTGAGGCGCTGGAGGCTCGCGACACGTCCTGGGTCGGGGCGGAGCGGTTGCGGCTCTGCTGTCGCCGCCGGCCGGCGGCCGAGCGGGCGCTGCGCACGTGGACCTCGCTGGCCTTGAAGAAGGCCACCATGAAGGGCTGCTTGTCGTAGGGGCCGTCCCTGCCCACCAGGCCGGCGGCTCGGGGGTTGATGTCGAGCCCTGGAAGGCAAACCAAAGCAGGAGGGCGGTGGGACCCCCAGCCCCCGACTTGTGCTGTTCTCGTCCCGGCCTGTGCACCCTTCTTCCCAGTCACGTGCCTCCCACCGGCGAGGCAGCTTCACAGGCCCCAGGTGCCGGGCCCGCGGGCCGCAGCGGGGACGCGCAGGTGCGGGAGGGGCGCCCACTGACCCACGCGGTGCCGGCGCTCGGGCCTGCGCCCGCCTTCCTCTCTCTCGCGACGCGCCCCGGCCTCCGCCTGGGCGCTGCCCTCCGCGGGTACTCTCGGACCCAGGACCATCTCACCGCCTCCAAGTCCTTGCCAGGAGGCTTGGGGGTGGGGGGGCCTTGCTGGTCCACAGTGGCTCTAGGGGACAGGAAGCCAAGCCATCCTGGAGCCCGGGGCCCACCCGGAAACCACGGCTCTGCCACGCCTGCCGCGAAGGAGACCAAGGCCAACGACCCTCGGCCCGAGCTTGGCGAACTCACCGTCCCGCGTGACCACACTCAGCTGCAGCCCCATGTTGTGCTGCGGGGTCAGAACCCACAGGTTGCTGGTGGCTGTGATGTCAAATTCCAGCCAGCCTTCCTCCGAGGCCCACACGGCGCGGGTGTCCAACAGAAACAGCTCAGAGTCTCTGAAAGAGGGAAGAGGTGGCAGGATGAAGGGCGCAGGGCCCCCAGCTCATCCCCACTGCGTCCTGCCCGGTGTCAGCCGACAGATGCCACCGTCGGATCGGGGACGGCGACCAGCCGTGGCCCCGGCTGGTGTGACGTCACACAGGACACACCCGCGACACAATCTGCTGGGGTGCCGCACGGACAGCAGCTGCCTGCTGACGTGGGGGGGGCCCCCTCGGTGTCACCAAAAGCCTCACGACAGCTGCTCAGGCCACATCTCTTTTAGAATTAAGGTAAATTCAAAATAAATAAATAAACAGTCCTATTGTTGCATGCTTTGCAGCTAGTGAACTCTAAAAAGAGAGGCAGTGGAGGGGGCAGCGAGGAAGAGGGTTAAGAAAATATTAAAATCAGGATCAATAGAGATGAGCATTTACTAAGTTGTACTTTGTTAATTTTTTTAAAAGCTCAGAACCCGACAATCCTCACGTTAGTTCCTGTGAAAGGAGAAGCCAGGATTCACATCCCATTCCTGAGTAATCATCAGTTCTTTTCTTTTAATTAAGGCCTTCGCATGGCCTACGGTGAGAGCCGCGTCCTTCCCCACGTGGACGGTGAGTTTCAAGTCTGTCCCAGCCCCGCTGTGAGCCACGCTGGGGCCCTTTGAGGGAAACTCACCGAGCCTGTTCCTTCCACTGGGCTCCACCGGGACTACTTTTACTTTTTTAATTTTTTTTAACAGTTTCCAGCTGATATAACTCTAGTGTGGGAAGATGGGGTGAGGGACCCACATGCCATGACAAGGCAGCATGTAGGATGGTCACCTTGGTGTGTCACGAGGACACAGTCTGAGTTGACGTCCCAGAGACACTGGCACGAAATGGCCTGGAATTCCCACGACAGGGAAGGGGGAGGTTTTAGCCGCGGAAAGAGTCAAATCCCCTGGTGCTAGAAATATTTTGCTGCAAGAGCTTACAGAACAGAAAAATTACTAGAATTCAATACTAAATTTAAGATGACCATCACAATACTAACAGTGTACATTTATTTATTTTATAAATTTATGTATTTATTTTTGGCTGCATTGGATCTTCGTTGCTACGCATGGGCTTTCTCTAGTTGTGGCGAGCGGGAGCTACTCTTCGTTAAGGTGCGCGGGCTTCTCATTGCGGTGGCTTCTCTCGTTGCACAGCACGGGCTCTAGGCGTACGGACTTCAGTAGTTGTGGCACACGGCCTTAGTTGCTCTGCAGCATGTGGGATCTTCCTGGACCAGGGCTCGAACCCGTGCCCCTGCACCGGCAGGCGGATTCTTAACCACTGCGCCACCAGGGAGGTCCTAACAGTGTACATTTAAATCGGTCATAAAGCGCTTGCATCTACTTTGCTTCAACCATTCTGAAAACTAGGTAGAATATCACTACCCCCATTTTACAGCTGGGGAAACTGAGACTCAGGTGTGAGTTTATGGACACATGACCAGTAATTGCAAGAACAATCTGGTGAAAAGAAAGTAAGTGGATTCAGAGTTTTCCACAATGACTTCCTGCCTTTTGAGATTATTATGAAAGACAACCTGTGACAAATGAATACAATGTATCTCTAGCTCATCAAACGTTTGGGAGGCCAGTGAAACATCTGAGTTTAAAATGTTAGACTTCTCAGAGGGGAAACAATTTTTCCTGTTTACATGGCTCAGAGTTAGAAGGCAACGCTACTGTCATCTTTTCCAAGTTCCAAGCAGTAGGTGTGCCTACGCGTCGTTTACTCAGCTGGTGGACAGAGTCTGCAGGGGGCACATCGCCGCCTGCCATCTATAAAGCACCCCCCCTCCCCGCATGTGTCACACCCCCTGCTGAGAAATTACCACCCCCCCATCACTGAGGTGGCTGTGGGCAGGCAGACAGGGGGTGTTCGTGGAAAACAGCAAGAGGGGGTGGCGAGTCCAAAGCTTTGAAGTGAAGATGTAAAAAGACATCAATGCTGTTCTGGAAGGTTGGAGAAGACCTTCATCCAGAAATAACACAGACACTATGAACGGCAATGTGGGAAAAGTCACCCTGGTCCCAAAGGATGCACAAGACATGTTCTTGTCAGAGGGGCGGCTTCTAGAATGAAGACGCGGTGAGAATGTCAGGGCGTGAGGCTGCCCCTGAGCTGAAGAGGGTCCGTGTGGGGTTAGAGCCGAGGGCCACTGGTCACTAAGAGCTTCGATGGGGCAACCGGCACGTTTTCAGGACTTGTAACAAGGATGCAGAGAAATACAGCCCAAGATATGGGCGTGGCATAGCCGGTAGAAAGAGCTAGAATGAGCTTTTATATTTAAAAAAGAATTAATGATGAAGGAACAGGGGAGTCTGTTAGCAGAGAAAGTGGGGGAATGGGACAGAAGGCCGTCATCCAAAAATGGGAGAGAGAAGCAGAGAAAAAGGAAAAGAGAAGGGCATGACTTAGAGAGGGAAGGGGAAGAACCCATAACCATGATGGGGAAGCAATGAAGTCCACAGGGTGAGTGGGGTTTGGAGGACACAGGAGCCCGAGCTACTACCCTGACTCTGCTCTGGAGTCACACTGGGGTCCCCAGGAGTTGGTGGTGCTTCTGGGCCACACCTCGCTGACTGTCCACCGAGGACAGCGCCGGTTCTCACAGCTTAGGAGACCCGTGGATCCACACACGCGGGGTCACAGCTGAGCCTGGAGACGGGAAGAGCTCCGGGGCTCAGGGCACTGAGGGCGAATCAAATTCAGCCACTTAAACCTAGGATGCTCAGGTCCCTTAGAAGGGAAGTGATGGAGAGCATGGGCTTGAAATAGCTGGGCTCAATGGCTGGAGGAACAGCAAATATTTCCCGTGCGCTTCCACCAAGCGGGGCCTCGAGAAGAGCTCCCGCCGCTCCAAGAGAAGCCCGGGGAAGGCAGGTCCTATTACGTGTCTCTTCTAGAGCAGAGGGCGTGCAGCCTGGAGAGGGTAAGGGTGTGAAGGCCACACAGGTGTTAAGTGGGGTAACCACAGCTTGAAAGCGGAGCTCAGGCTTCAAAAGCATAGTCAAGAAAAGTATAGGCAGGCAAATATCACATGAGATCACTTATTTGTTGAATCCTAAAAAATGATACAAATGAACTTATTTACAAATAAGAGACTCACAGATATAGAGAACAATCATGGTTACTAAAGGGGAAAGGGGGGAGGGATAAATTGGGAATTGGGGATTAACAGATACATACAACTGTATATAAAATAGATAAACAGGGCTTCCCTGGTGGCGCAGTGGTTGAGAGTCCGCCTGCCGATGCAGGGGACACGGGTTCGTGCCCCGGTCCGGGAAGATCCCACATGCCACAGAGCAGCTGGGCCCGTGAGCCATGGCCGCTTGAGCCTGCGCGTCCGGAGCCTGTGCTCCGCAGCGGGAGAGGCCACAGCGGTGAGAGGCCCGCATACCACACACACACACACAAAAGATAAACAACAAGGACCTACTGTATAGCACAGGGAACTATATTCACCATCTTGTAATAACCTATCACGGAAAGGAATTTGAAAAAAGTATATATGTGTGTGTGTGTGTGTATGTACACACACAGAACTGAATCACTTTGCCGTATACCTGAAACTAACAAAATATAGTAAATCAACTCTAGTTCAATAAAAAATTTTTTTCTAAAGTACAGGGCAGAGGTAGCAATTACCCAAACAAGGGCTTAGAATAAAGTCAGAGTTTAAAATCCACTGCACATCAATGCCAATGGTGGCTGGATACAGAAAACACATTCAGATGCTCAGGGCTGGCACAGGATGAGAAATCACGAGTGACTTCTCATGTCAGGGTCAGTGTCGGAGGGGGTGAAAGGTCGCGCAGGAAGTAAAGGTTGAGATGCCTAATGCCTGCTGCTGGGACTCCAGTGGCTCCCGGTCTCACCCTCCTCCTTTTCCCAGGCACAATGCCCTCTGTCTAGACTGAAAACACCACTGACACACACTCAGAAAGGGTGAGGAACTTTCAAAAAGAATGACAGCTTTGAGGAGGGACTTCACTGGCTCAATGCTTCCAGCAACTCAGGTATTTAAGAGACACTATTTACGGCAAGTCACTAAAATGGTCTGACCCACGTCTATTTACTTTTCTTCAATGACACGTGACCTTCTCAGTCTACGCACTCTGTCAAAGTGTTGCCTCAAACAAGACACTCCTGATTTTGCTACGCAAACAGCAGGGGTTCCCTTCTAAACCCCACTCCAGTGGCATCGAGGTCTTCTTTAGGCGAGAAGCACAATTTTCAAATAGAATGAAAGTCAAAACTCAATGAAAATTAGACAGTAAGGCAAGGATTTTTACTTTTTTCTTATGTAATGCATCGTATATAGAGGATTACGTCTAAACTTTTACCAACTAAAAAGACAGAAAGAAATAGGATATTTGAAAACAAAGCATTACAAATCAGAGTAAACTGCTACACACACACACACACACACACATGCACACACGGATCTGAGTAACAAGGGTGAATGAACATTATTATTATATAATCAGCCAAGCTCTCATTGATTTTATGGCACTTGAATTTACCCAATTTGCACCTCTAGGATGAGCATAAAAAGTTCATATATCAAACGCACTTCCACCCTGTAAGGGATATTTCATCTTCAATAAACCAGTACAAATCACTTTGCTGTCAGGATATTAACACAGCTCTGCCCTTACATGGTGTTTACCATGTAAACATATGTAGGGCTGCTCCTACATATGTTAGCTTCTCACGACCACCCAGAGAGGCAAACAAAATACTATTCATACCACCACAGATTTACAGAGCAGGAAACTGAGGCACATACGGGTTAAGCAACTTGCTCACAATCACTCAGCCAGGCAACCTGGCTCTTAACCATCATAGCAGAGGTTCTCAAGGTCAGCCTGCATCAGAATCCCCTGGAGGCCTTGTTAGAGTTTCTGAGGCGGGGCCTTGCAAACTCGCACTTCTAACAGATTCCCGGGCTTCCCTGGTGGCGCAGTGGTTGAGAG